GGGGGGGGGGGGGGGGTGTTATAATCATGAATCATGCATGTTAAATTATGAATCATGACAGCATGTCTCTCCTCTTGTTGAATGTTATGTAAATACAACAAAAATAAAAATGATGTTTCTCTTGTAGAATTCTAACAGTGTTTCTCCTAGGCACAACCACAGAAGCAGAATTGTGCTACTTTTTGGGAATATTTTCCAAGTTGAACCCTCTGCAATAGTGTTTTATTCAGTCCACCATACCTTTGAAGCAAGTCCTTGTGCATCAAGTTCTTGTAGTGTAGTCTTGACAGCTCCTCGTTGTAGTTCACAAGGAACCCACATGCCATCAGAGGATTTAATGAAATATTCCGCATCCCGGGTTTTACGAACAGGTTCAAAGAGCACATCTTTAACCTATCAATGATGAAGTCGCGATCAGGTTTAAAATGAGGAAACTGTCGACTATTTTCGATTCTCACACAGAAGAAAAGGTAAAAAATGCTTTTCAAACATTCTGCTCAAAGTGAGTCGCAAGAATCAAGATGAGATGTGGCAGAGGCTGATGTAAAAATTGACACTTACACAAACAGAAATATCTGAACCTGAAAAACCTTCTGTTTTTCGAGCCAACTTTTCAAAATCTCTTTCAGTTAAATCATGAGGAGTATCTCCAAGATGCACCTGCGCATAGACATACAAGAGGATGTTAATTTCAAGAACAACCCAAACATGACAAAAAAACAGGCTACAATGATTCTGATAAGCATTACCTTAAACATGTGTTGCCTTGCCTTCAAATCCGGGAGAGGAATGTATATTCTCTTGTCAAAACGCCGCCGGATAGCCTGTTTGATTATTGTGCATTAACATTTCCTAACAAGTAATTCTGATGAAAAGATAAATATTTCTGTCCATAATCAATGCGATTTAAAATCGTATGTTTTTATAACCTGATCCAGTGCATAGGGAGTATTTGTGGCAGCAAGAACAAGAACCTTCTGATCATCATTCCCTATACCCTAAAATGGGACAAGAATCTCAGTTTAAGTTTATGACAGAGCTCTGATCGGTTAACGTGGAATGAAGCTCAGGACAAAGTTCTAATCCACATACAGCAAACAGAGATGCTTCCCTATACCTGCATCTGCACAAGAAGTTCTGTTTTGATGCGACGAGATGCTTCACTCTCATTACCTTCACCCCGTTGGCCACAAAGTGAATCTATTTCGTCAATGAAAATGATGGAAGGTGCATTATCACGAGCCATTTGGAAAAGATTCGAAACTAGCTTCTCACTTTCACCCATCCATTTGGAAACCAGGTCTGAGGAAGAAACACTGCAAAAAGCATCATCTGGGACTCGTCAACAATTTTGATCGGCAAAAGTGGGTGGAAGGCAAGAATTATGCCCGGGATATAAGGATTTATTTATGATTTACCAGTGAAATCAAACAAAAAGGGCTAATAGTAAGAATTTTGCATTTGCTAAAGAACCAGCCTGATGCACAAGCATTTTACAAATTTCTTGGATAATGTTTATTGACAGTTGCTTGCAAAGACTACATAATTATATATCCTGATCATCAAAAAATAGAGGAAGGAGAAACTTTGACATTGTTTACGCATTCAATATTCAAACACTCACTTGATGCAATGTGTGAGTAACACTACAAGAAACTTTCATCTGCTAGTAATATGGCAAGTTGTAATATCTTGGTTTATATATTACCTGAAGAAAGTTGAGTCAGCTTCTGTTGCACCAGCCTTTGCCAAGTATGACTTCCCTGTACCAGGTGGACCATATAACAAAAATGCCCTCCATGGTTTTCTCTTCCCTGGATGAGTAACAGACAATCTCAAATATCATCTAACATTGAATCTGTAATTATTTTTAATGTATCTTTTCCAGATTTGATAAAATTTATAGATTTGATAAAATTTATAGCAAGGTGGGTATATCAAAGTCAAAATACTTGAGTTTAACAATCAGCTGAACTCAAAAATATATAAATCTGACAAAAAGCCAGACTTAACATATTTGGGATCAGTCATTAGCTAAACCCAAGGTAACATGAGTCCGACAAGATGCCAGACCAAAATATTTTTAGATTCAGCTGTTATCTAAACCCAATATATCATGGGCTTGACAAGATACTAGATGAGCCTGACAAGATACCAAACTCAATATACTTGAGTTTGACTATTAGCTGAATCCAGGATAATATAAGTTTAACAAGATGTCATATTTAATATACTTGGATTTGGCTGTTAACTGAACCAAAAGCAATATACTAAGTCCTAGATGAACATCTAAGCTGAAAGTGTAGCGGGTTGGATGCCTTGTCATGCCCTTTAATTTAGGTTAGGTTTATCTCATATTTGGAGTATTCAAGACTAAAAAATTATATTTTTAGAACAATTATATGAATTATTCACATAAGAGGTGACCTCCCTATACTTATAGATATATAAAAGATTTCTTAAAAGACTTATCATATTTACCATCTCATTAATGATATTTAAATGATATTTATTTTTTATTAATGTCACTGAAAATAAAAGATTTAGTTAGCTATTCTCTTCTTTGAAAATAACAAGGTTTAGAAATATAAATATCTATGAACCATCCAATAAAAGTTAAAAATATTTTTATTTCTTAAAAGCTTATATATATTTCAGAGTATTAATTATTTTAAAATACAATAACAAATATACTTGTAGTTCTTTTAAGTTATTTCTTGTCTTTCTTTGTAAAGTCACCGACTTTAATGTCTTTAATAAATTTCCTAATTGGAGACTATTTTGCAGATATTTAGAGCTATATCATTAATTTTGTGTTTCCCGAGCTGAGAAGAAGAAAACTATTTACCTAAATATTTTAATTAACTACTGCACATAAACTAAATAACCTATTACATAAATATTTCTGAGTTTTTAAGACATCATCAGAATCTCAACCCGAAAAAAATGTTATCACAGCGGATGCAAAACAAACAATTGCGAGCTTTACGTCCAAGAAACTAACCAGTGAAAAACTGTGGGAACTTAACAGGCAATATAACAGCTTCCTGCAATGCTAGTTTGGCATTCTCAAGACCTGCCACATCACTCCACTTCACATTTGGCTTCTCCCTGATGATAACAGAATCAAGCCCTTCCTTGAGCTTCGCTAGCTCTGGATCCTCCTTGCCCTTCCTACCTCCATCCTTTGGTTTTGGACTAGTCTTGGGCCGTGCAGCAACCGATGTATCACCATTTGACGCTGGCATACTTCTACCATTATCAAGAACAGATCGGATCTCCTCCGCCCTTCTTAGATACCCCAAACATTTTTGCCTAATTGTTTTCTCAATCTGTGGATTCTTCTCATACTTCAGTTGTGCTTGAAAATACTCCAATGCATTCATATAAAGCTGGAAAGCTTTCCTATAGTTTCCAGCATCATCCTCCTTGACTGCCTGTTTCGCGTACTCTATACCATGCTCCATAAAATTGCAATACATTTTGTCCTGAAACTAAATACACCAAATATAATATAATCCTCAACACTTCAAATAATCACTCACATAAAACAATGATGCTTAAAACAAGACTTCAAAATCAATAGCTCCTATAATCCAGCAGAGCTCAAACCCCCAGTACTTGATCCCATGAAAGGTGAAGATAACATCTTTATATACCGGCAAAACATAAAACACTCCTCTTATTCATCATAACCTAAGATCCCAACACTTGAACACAATCAAACCTGAAAAAAAAAACTATAATTCAATCAAAACTCAAATCCAACACTTAGAGTTTCAACCTTTACTGTAGTTTTGATATACACGATTCTTTTCTTCAAAGTTTTCACCAACCCAATACAGTTTGCATTAAAAAGACTCAACCTTTTCAATCAAGTATCAATGAGAGGAGAGGAGAAGACAGGAAACGAAATACCCATTAACAGACCTGGAACTTGAGGTTTTGTTCAAGAGAGATGATTGTTGTAACAAGAGAAGCAACCACTTGGCTTTCGTCTTGTCTCTGTTCAGTATCTATGTTCGATATGTCGTTTGATGATCGAATTCTAGACAGATAAGTAAACAACCACTTAAAATGAAAGTGTCCTGTCGCTTTCAAATCTAGAAAAGTTGCGCAAGCAAAATGAAATGTTTTCTTGCAATTTGATCCTTAAAGTGAAAAAAGTGTTTTTTTACCCCCAAACTTTTGTAGACATTTTGACCGCGAAAAACCGAGAGACTCTTGGCTCAAAATACTCCTCCAATGCATTTGTTGCCCCTCCTTCAAAACATTTCAGTTTGATACTGACAAGAAAAAAATCTGTTCTCTACGTCTACACACACACACACACACCCATCCTTCACCCTTCCACATATTCTAGATGTTCATATGCAGAAACAAGGTTCGCTTCATCCACTTCTCTTCTGCTGCTCTTATATATGTTTAATATATATATTTTTTCAATGTATTTAGGAATAATTCTCTCTCTTGTTTAAACATACAATTTTTTGGCTTCTACTTATTGCAGAAGGTAATGCAATATTGGAAGGATCACATCATGGACACCATAACAATTTCTCAGCGAAGCTTTTTGCATTGGGGTTTCCTAAACTGGCCATGACTGCTGAGTTGGTACCGCATAAGCTGCTCATTATGCTATCCAGCCTTAAGTTCCATTAGTTTATTAAACCTGATCTAATTTCATAGGCTAATATGAGATTTAGCTGATACATTTTTAACTTGGATTTAGATTTAAAAAAAAGTCAACTTGGTAATGACTTTATTTGATCTAGTAAGTAAACTTATAATCTAATAAAAATAATTTTTTTAATTGAAAAGATATTGAATTGGATCATAACCCACGTCGAGTTTAATAACTTATATTTATGCAACCTATTATGCGTATACTACTACAAGACAGATTAGTTTATGCAACATATTATGCATATCCTTACGAATTAGTCTGTGCATCCATGAAGGCTATCCGGCCTTGAGTTGAATTAGTTAATGCAGCACATTATGCCTGATGAAAATGTTAAAATTTACGTGTAATTTTTTTTTAAAAAAATTATTTATTGAAATGAATAAGACATGATTCACACAAAATCAATGGGCATGGGCACAGTGTGAGTTCAGGATTTAAGACATGACAAGGTAATAACACAAGATTTGCCATGAACAGAATGGAGTTTTTTCTACCCATTAATAACTTCAATTTATTATCTCCACACCATCATTAGGTTTGAACAATCAGAATTATCATATTTTTCCTTTTTATTTTCCATGAAGTATAATTCAAATAATTCATTTATGAGACATTGGAGAAAATTAATATCAATAGAAGTACTAAAACACATATACTTGATTTACTTAGTCACCCGTAGCTCTGTTGGTGGATCTCCAAGATGTCTTTATTCTACCCAGCACATTATGACTATTCTCATGGCTTGAATCCCTTGTGCAAAAAACGATTTTGTGGATTTTGTTTGATTTTACTAGTGATACGCTTCTTTCAATATATAGTTCCCTCAGTGATGAAATTTCTGACTAATTTTGGTCAATGTTTCAAGTCGAGAGAAAAGCCATGTAGTGTCTCGGATGTGATTTCAGACGGCATTGTGTAGTGTCTATGATCGAAGGGGAAAAATGTGTCCATGGTGAGAAACACACTAGCAAATCTTTGTAGACGTTTGGGCCAATGCAAGTTTTCTTTATTCTGATTTCAGTCCGCATGGTATAGTGTCTCAGATCGAATGGGAAAAATGTGTCCATGGTGAGAAACACACTAGCAAATCTTTGTAGATGTTGGGGCCAAGGTTAGTTTTTTTTATTCAACCTTTCTCCATCTCGTTTGAGGGGTGGTAAAATCTTTAGCTGATAGCCAACTGAATTTTTAGTGTTTTTGATTCTGTTGTAAATATATCCTTCATAAATTCATTAAGAGTGGTAATCCTTGATTCAAAGATTTGGATAAAAGAGCAAATCCAATGAAACCATCACAACAATCTGAGTATAAAAGGAAAAATCAATTGATCTCTTAGATCATTGCAGAGAAAATGAGAACGTTACTCTTGTTCACAATTGTAGAAACAAAGGTTTGAGATTTCAACACTAAGTTCTTTTTCAGGCAATTCCAATATTTGTGATGTTACTTGCTCCCTTGGCACATGACAGTCTTCGAGTACTGTATGGAAGGCATGGGAGCAGAAAGGATTTACTGGTTTTTCTTACCCTTTTATGCTAAGCAAAGCAGGAACCAAATTAAATGTTATTTTATTGATTATGTCTTCGATATTAGTTTGATCAATTAACCATTTAATCAGTTAATTCTAAAAAACCATAACAAAACAGCATCTTGTTATCTACGTTAGGCTTTACCTGCCCTCACAACATCGCTTATCAGTCAGCTTTCTGCCAGCCTGAAAAGAATATCAGTGACATAATTGCGGCCTCTTGGATGCCTGCCCATATTGTCAGCCTTCTCTTCATATCAGAATTACAGTGAGACCTGGAATATTGCCTTCAAGTTCCACAACCATTACAGCAAGCAATACGAAGGACGAACACTGAAGAAATTGCAGCAAGCAATACGAAGGACGAACACTGAGAGCAGGGTATACACGTACGAAACTCTGAATCTCTATAATGCATTCATGTCCAAAGTGAATAATGCACACCCTGCGCGAAACTTGAAGCTCAGGACTCTCCATTTTCCATGTTGTGTGGGTGTGACAAGCAACTAGTACTCATGTGGGAACTTTGACAGGAATGAAGCAAAGAAGTATGTGGTGTGCGATAAGCCAGAGAATGACTGGCATGAAAGTTCTTGTCTCTGGAATCCTCACTTCATCAACTCTATTAGGAACATTCAGAGGAAAAAATTATATTATGAAGAACAAAACTAGCAGCTTGATTACGTAATTGAAAAAAAGAAAAAGGAAGAAAGAAAATAATGGCGTCGCCCGGACTCGAACCGGAGACCTTCAGTGTGTTAGACTGACGTGATAACCAACTATACCACGACACCCCGCTGCTATTATTTCTATATATATGGTTTTCAAGTTGACTCGTCATTGTTTTCTTTTACAATTGAACTTGCAAAAAATTGTTAGTTAGCAGAAAATAAGGAGGTCCGAATTATTATTATTATTATTATCTATCCAGATAATAAGCAAGTTTTAATAATTATTATTATTATTATTACTAGTTTTTTAATCCATCCATCCATAAGTTTTAACAGCAGAGTCTTGTCTCCTATGTGTTGGTGTCTTCTCTTTTTCTTGTTCATAGATGAAAGAGATAAAAGTACTTGTTTAGCTGTAAAAATTATTTTTAGTGTATTTTTTAGGATTTTAAAAAAATCTATAGCGAGATTCAAAATATTTAGGTTTAGTAATTAGTTGAGCTAAAAAAAATATTGGTATTATGACTTAAACATATTTAGATTCAATTATTAGTTAATTATAAAATTGATGAGATTTTAAATCTAATATATTTCAACTATTAGCAGAACTCAAGATAATATAGGCTCAACGAGATGCCAAATCTAACATGCTTGAGTTTTGATGTTAGTTAAACTCAAAATAATATAGATCTAACAAGTTATGAAATCAAATATATTTGAGTTTTATTATTAATGAAATTTAAAAATAATATAAATTTAACGAGATATTATATTTAATGTACTTAAATTTAACTGTCAATAAATTATTTTAATTTAATAATTTATTAGGTTGAGACAGTTTTTTAATATAGTATTAAAGCTTTTATAATCAAACAATTACAAGTTTAAATTTTATCAATTGTATTTATTTGATAAAAATTAAATATAAAATAATATAAATTTTAATCTTAACAAACTTTTACTTAAAAAATATATTAAAAAATAATATAAATTATATCTTAAGAATTAATCTAAAAATTTAAATTATTAAATTAAAATAATTATTTAATATTATTCATCAGCTTTTCTGGGACAATTACCCGATCCTAGATGAACTTCTTAAAGAGTATTTAGGTATGAGGTGTGGTAGCTTTATTTTAAGGTACCATCCTCTTAAAGTATACATCACACTTTTTAAAAACAAAAAATATATATTTTTAATAAAAAATATGAAAGTTTATAGATAAAAACCAACCATACCTCCCATCCAAACACCCTCTTCGGCTGAAAGTATAAGTGGTTGGAGCTGAGGTCATCTGATCATCACAATTATGTCCACGGCAGCATTCACTGTTCCTACTGGTACGTAACAAGCAAGACGGTGGACTTCCAATATGTTTACATGAAAAGACATTCTCGACTTTTATAATATCCGATGCAATTTGTCTCTTTCTTCCTCAACTTCAGTATTTAATGTTTTTAGGAATCCTCACTTCTCGTTATGCCGAGCAAGATTTTCTAAGATCCTTGCCCACAAAGCTAATCATTGGCCTTTTGCGCTGCTCTTATAATCCTGTTGGATGGCAAACTACGAATTGTTATGCCAATTGTTTTCCTTTGTGGGATTCCTGTCACCCTCTTCATACTGTTACAATTTCCCCTCCTTGTTGAGATTTTCTTTTCTACCTATGGTCCAGCCATCTTCAATCGGAAAACAAAATGCTGGTATTGATGAAGCTGGGAAGTATGGAGAGAAGATGTTAATTGGGTGACTTTGGCAAGTTGTTCATAGTGTTTGCGTTGTTTGTGATGTCGACGTAATTGCACTTCAGCTCGCAATGTTTGCCCAATAATTAAGTTGGAGATGTTCGGGTGGCC